AGCTTGAATAGTCAAGTATACCCAAACCCGACAGACGAGGTATGTATCATACTTCATACCAATGTTATAAATGCGAACGTTTAAATAGATGGATGGATGGATGTTTGTTAATATTTGATGAAATTTGGTATAGAAGTAGAGGATAATCTGGAAGAACACATAGGATTTTTTTTAATTCTGCGCGGATGGAGTAGCGGGCGAATGCTAGTATATATGTATAGGTCTACTGAACAATGACAGATTTCAGTAACAATCCCTCCCACAAATTGCCTTTAATTAGTAATCTGAATGTTTAAATGGATATTTGTTACGTATGTCCAAAACGGATGGATCTCCATGAATGTTAGCAGAGGTAGAACGTAGTCTAAGCTTACTACGGGCCTGTCCCACTACTGGCTGATAGAGGCTCAGATTAAAAATGACGTCACTGTCAGATAAGGGATTAAAATCCGATATTTCCATCACATATTTTGCACGTTGGATTGTTATCAGACAATTTACAATTTGGTGGGACAGGAAAGTATTTTTTAAATTTCGAGCGGTGAAGTCGCGGGGAAAAATTAGTATTATACTTTCGCAAATTTCTTCAGTCAAAAAGGTTGTGAAGAAGTTTAGATAGGAAATGTTAGTAAGCATCGTAAAGTTTTACGATGCAATATTTGTTTGAAACTTGTTTTTGTTTTATAGAAAGGGTTTTTTGCAATTTTCCGATCGCTAAATTTTGACGACTGGACTTCAATCACATTTCATACGATTTGTTGGTTTGTTTATTGTTAAAGTTTTTGTTTCCTATAGATTATCCTATATTAGCTATGTTATGATATCCTATATTAGCTATGCTATTTCAAATATTGTAGTTTTTTTTATATAAGAATATATAGGAATTTGTCCCTGTATTTGTAAAAAAAAAATTTCAATTATTTTGATATATTTGCTTTAAAGCTAATTTGTTTCGAGAGTATTCTTTGATGTAAAAATCGTAGTACTATTGTAAAGCAGACCTTTCAAAGAACAATCTAGAACAATCTAGAAATGATACATTACCTCGACAAATATTTGAGTGTCTCCAATTTAATATTGTATGTCATACATTTATAACCACCAATGCCCTTCATACTTCAGAACAACAACGCGTATCTATAGAGGGAGTGTAGTCTGCAATTTAGGGTTGGCACTCCGTCAATTTTTTTTAACTATAGCTCTTTTTATTTTATTTACACCATATGATTGTCTTGGATAAAATGTGCGCCTTTTTGTGATCTATAATTTTTTTTCTCTAACAAACTCAACGTAAATAATATTTATTTTTAGATGAATAGGACAAAAATGTTTTTAGTAAGGTTTAGTTTCGTTCAATAGAAATACATACATGAAGTGGAAAAAACCCTGAACGAATATGCAACTCTGGTATAACGTAAAAGTAGCTTAACGTATAATATTCCTACTGGGATAAACGTAAACTGAAACACAACAATTTACGAAAACATATAATAAAAGGTGTCAGCCCTGGCACGGTTGTCGTCAACAGAAGGGCGTCTTTAAAAGCGTCGCCTAATGCATTGGGGAGCATTTGGTTTGTCTACTCTACTTGCCTACTACTAGCCTTAAATAACGTTAACTTGAATAGTACTAAAAGTTTACCTACAAGAAAGCATTTTAATTGCAATTTGTTGCAATTAAATATTCTGAAAATTGTTTCCTGTGAAATTAAAAAAAAAAAATAGAATGAGGTATTCAAAATTGTTTCTTAATATGGTTTTAAAAAAAAATTAGGTCATTTTATCGTAAACATGGTAATGCGCGGAATAACTGGATTATTTTATTAGTTTGGGTTATGCATTAAAACTAATTTAGAGCAACTGAGCGAGACGTTAATGTTATCGGATACATGCAACAGATTCGCGAACAAATTTATAAACATGTCATGTAAAAATAATAATAAGTCCTGCGAATTTTAAAACTACTTAACTAGTTATAAGTTTACCTAATTATTAACATTCCTTTCCTATTCCTTGACACTAAAAATAATTCATCTGAATATTTGTTAAACACAATAGCGTAAGTTTTACTATGGTCTTTTTAATTTTTTTTTATAAAGTAGACATAACCACAAGATAGCCATAACTTATTCGGAAATCCAGTGTTTTAAAAATCCGTTATTTTTAAAAAAGATTAAGGACTATAACTGATTTTTATACCACATCGCGCCTTCACCTCGTAAACAAATTGATTTATGTTGTTAACAAACAAAAAATAAAATAAAAACAAGATTTCGACGCCGATAAAAATCGATTATTATCTTTATCTCACCATCTCGAGACCTTTTTAATTATGCGCGTGTTAAAATTTTAAAAAAATATACAAGCATAATGTCTTTTATTAATTACTTACTGTCTTTTTTCAGTAGTTCAAAACACATTTTTGCACATAGATTCGCAGAATGTAAGAAAAAAAAATATTTTACAAAAATAAAATTCTCAAGTACGCACATTACTAATTAGGTCTCCAGTTTTAATGTGGTTTTAATTCTTATTATTGGTAATTAAATGTAAACAAACAGTGCGTTTTTGTAATTATCGAAAAGATAACGGATCTTGCCTTTAGGAATTTTTATCTCGTTCAGTATGGCCCAACAAACCGTATTATTTTATTATGCTACCGTTAATTTCGTACTTGTTTAATGAAAGTTGCCAGAATGTGGTTATATAGAAATTTTGAAATACCAAAGAAAATAAATTATTGTTATGTTAAAAACTTGCATCAATTTAATATTTCTATTTAGTACTTGTACAAGTATGGGTGGCTGACTAAACGCTCCCCGCACGTTTCGTCTAGTATTCTTGATAGAACGCACGCCACTTTTCGCCCGTAAGTGTTTTCTATACTTGTAAGCTATGAACTTTACAATATGGATAAAACTATAAATATATTCGTGAGATTTTTCAACTTTACTATTAATTTACGTTGAATATTTTACTGATTTATGTAGCTTTCGCCCGCGACTCCGTCCGCGTGCCATTTAATAAAACAAAAGAGGGCCTATGGATGGAAGAAAATCTTCCAGACTATCCGCGAATTCTATGCCAAATTTTATCAAGATCTGTTCAGCAGTTTAGGCTACAAACTTTAACAAATATTCATTTAAACTTTCGCATTTATAATATTAGTAAGATTAGTATGATACTTTGGCCCGTGACTCCGTCCGCGTGGAATTAAAAAACAACTAAAGTGGGTATGTGTTCTTCCAGACTATGTTCTACATCTATGCCAAATTTCATCGAGATCCGTTCAGCGGTTTAGGCTACAAACTCTAACAAACATCCATCCATCTAAACTTTCGCATTTATAATATTAGTAAGATTAGTAAGGCATTTGCCAAGGGTGTCTAATTTATGGTATAGGTGAGTTCTAGGGGTCATTGTTTTTTTTTAAATTCTAACACCTATGCTTAGCATCTGACCCTCAACTTTATCCTGCTATAGGATATATTGGGATACAATTCTCCACAGGAGAAGAATCTCCAAGTAGAGTCGAAAGAGACGGAGCTTGCAAGTTACGTGAGCGACTGCGTGTCGGTCGCGCTGGACTCCGTGCTGTGCGCCACCAGGCTGCAGCAGGACGGCACCAGCGGAGAGGATCCCAAGATAATCGGCGCCTTGAGGAATAGAGCACATTTGATCATCAGGTAAGTGCTAGAAATAGAACTTCCTTCACAGGATCTGATGGAAAACTAGTGGATCCAACTTGGCTCAATGATTTTAGAAAAATAATACAGTTAGAAAGTGGTTTTTTATCACGTCTTGTATTCTAATATTATAAAGATTTGTATTTTTGGACGTATTGAAATAACTCAAAAACTACTGTGCTTATTTCAAAAATTCTTTTGCCATTATAAAGCTACGTTATCAGTGTGTATATAGGCTATGTTTTTTTATTACTTTTTAATTTTTACGTCCGAAGTCGTCTATACCATTATTGTAAAGAGGAAAGATTTGTATTTTTTGTGTGTATTGAAAAA